CTTGTGCGCCTGCGCGAATGTGTCAACAACCTATGTCAATAACTTGACGCAAAGGGCGTCACTGAGAGGCAGAACAGCCATCGTCGCGGATCGGCGTTCGCCCGAGACGTTAAAGGGCTCTCCAGCATGCGTACCTAAATGGAACTCGCCTGACACGCTTCAAATTAAGAGGAAAGGGCGAGGAGACGTGGGGGGGAGCGAGAGAAAGAGTTGGAGGCGTGAGTGGAGGAGGTCATCTTTGAATTGCTCTTTGAAGCTTTGAAGAGACGAAGAAATGGTGGCACGCAGGTGAATCATAGCGCTTAGAAACTCCAGCTTCGCAGCTGGAGTCTCGAAGAGAACTGAAACCGCCCACACCTCTTTCGCTGAATCAATTTCGGCAATGTCCCCGCACCTGGACGAGCATTTAAACGTGAGACCGCGTGGTTCCCACGGGGCCATTATCGGCATGCAAATTCGGTTTCTGGTAAAAGGAAGTATGGTACACCTTGCTTCGAAAAATTAAAACAGGCTTGAAAATAGCCCCCCCCCCCCCCCCCTTTTCTTTTCTCACCCGCACATAAACAGACTGTTTCTAAAAACAACGCTTTGTCTTGGAACTCTGACAGACCGAGATGTAACGGAGGGTTATAAGGGTTGCACAAGCAGAAAAGGGCCGTACTGTGCGTTCCGGCCCACATTGTCCACGGGTGTACATACACGCTTGTGAAACGAACAAAAACGATTTAAACGTATACATTAACTCACGTCTGCAAACAAACGGGAGCGCCCCTAGCGGCACACCCCTGGCTCCGCGCATGCGCGATGGGGTGTGGGCAAGAAGCGCCGTGTCCCGTATCAACAAAACTTTGGAATGGGATGTCGGCGTCGGTGTGACACCCCTTGCTCTTTTTCGCTGTGCAATTGTGGATTCTACGTCTTCCTAGCAATGTCTAGCTTCTTGAGCTGCCTCAGCGAAACTAACCAGCCGTTTTACACCGCAAAACTTTGTGTAAATATTGTGATGTGCGGTTATTCATTCCGCGTGAATGCCGCAGAATGGACGCTAGAGCCTGTTCAGATGACGAGATTCCGCTCGCAATTTTCAATCGCGACGTCGCTCGGGCTGCAAAAGCGTGGACGGTAGCAGCGATGATGCTCGACGTGGATACTGAACATCGCAAGCAGAATGGGACCAAGTGAATCAGGCATAACGAGTCGGTGATGGCCACTGGTAGCAATGACCAACATCTCCATGCCTCTACTGTTTATACCGAGCCTGGGCGATTCACACAGTTGCGTTGAGTCCGAACGACAGCGAGGGTTCCTATGGCAACAACTTTGATAAAATTCATCCTCGAGAGCGTTTTAGAATAATAATAATAATAATAATAATAATAATAATAATAATAATAATAATATATTTGCATAAAAAAAGCTAAAATGCTGGCGGCCTGCAGAAAAAGCTGCCATATGGACAGCTTGAAAAAGCCGAAGGCCCCCACACTGGCAGTTTAAGATAAGATGTCACGGTATTAGAACAAGAAATAATACCTAACATTAAGCACATTTCACTATAGCCTATGCAAACAAAGAAAACAAAAAACTAGCCAAAATAAAAAAAAAGACACATTTTTCCTGTTATTTATTTCCGCTACCCAAAATCGCATGGCATTCCGTTTCACCAGAAAACGCCCCGCAAATAACAAACAACCATCGACTTTTTTTTTTGTTAGTAGCTTTTTTTACGTGCGTGCTCATCAATTGGTCGACATCCTTTCTTCGTGCGCGCTTGACTAATCCATCAAACACAGCTAGGCTGTTGAAACTAAGCCTATTTTTCCACTCGACCAAAAGACAGTTTCGAGGGGGAAAAACAACAACAAAAAACAGTCTTGACGCTGCTGAAGTTAAATGAACGCAGGAGCGTTCACCGAATGCAGGTTACTCTGTTCGAGAGTACTGCGGACGATGTCATCAACGGCTTTCCATTTAAGACAGTCTGAGACAGCTATGCATGGAAGCACACGAGCATCCTACTGTTCTCCTTTGGGAGAATATGGGCGTGCTTCAACGGCAAGATGCACATCTACCATTATTCCTACACGATATAACCCACTCCTTACCAAAAAGGAGAAGAAAAAACAGTACAACTTTTCGTTAACTGGATTACGGAGCAGGAAATCTAACTGGATTTCTTGTTGGAAACCTGAAATCTAGTTTGCAGACAATTTCGGTAGGGAGCTGGTATTCATATGACGCCATATTGGGGCACCCAATTATCGTCTGCTCAAAAGACACTCTTGATGGCATGAATTGAAGGTTGCGGACGCTCATCGTTAGCACGGGCGCAACCGCAACGGACTCATCTTTGGCCGCCGATGAATTTCAGTGTTTACTTTTCTGAAATCCGGTGGGTACCTTTACGTCATAAGTTTTAATTTTCTTTTTTTTTTTTTTTTTCCTACAGAAGAATACATCATTTTAGGATATCTCCGGTTCAGGAGGTTCTGGTACCAAAATGTGTCAACACGTGCTCAAGCAAGCGCGGGCACTCCCTCGACCAGGGATGTTTGACTCTTTCAGTCCTATTGTGGATTATCTATTTTGCACCCCAGGTCGTCACGATTTTCTACCCTGCTTTCAAAACCGCGCACTGTTTCATCCTCCGATTCCTAAAACCCCGCCTCCTGCCAAATGAAGCGACTTATCTCAAAAAATGATGTATTCGTTGACGGGAGCGTAACTCACGGCGAGACTAATTGACCCTTTTAAGAGGTCGTCAGTTCAGGAGGTTCGGGTATGAAAATGCGTGAGCACGTGATCAAGCGAGTTCACGTATTTTCATACTAGAACCTCCTGAACATTTTAGGCTCGAATGCTGTACAGCGCTTTCTCGAAATATGAATTCAAAACAGTACACACCATTTTAATCATTATACATCGTGCAAAACGCAAAAAGAACAGACACAGGGAAGAAGACACACACACACACACACAGGCGCCTGTGTGTGTCTTCTTCCTTGTGTTCGTTTTTCTGCGCCTTGCACCATGCTTCATAACTAGCCCAATTACAAGTATTTCTACAGTGCCTTTCTAGTGCCTATCGCTCGGGCGAAAAAATGCCAAGTCACCGTGGACGCATGCGCAGCTGTCTGATGCTCCGCAGAAGAGAGATGTGCATGTTCAAAACACGTTCCAGAGTCCAGTAGAGAAAGGTGGCCGCGCGCAGGCTACAATTATATACTTTTTTTATTTACAAGGTAAACGTACGCCAGCCCTCTGCCTGGTTAGCTAGGAATAGACATTAAGCGAAAAATAGGGACTACTACACCAATTATCTGAGTACGTCATTCCTTGATCATTAACTATGAGCCTGTATTGTGGGCTCGGGTCCCATCATATGCCTCGTGCCCAAAAAATGGCGACCGCCAAGGTTGCTCGATTACCTTTTGAAAAGTGTCGATTCAAAGGGTCTGCACATACGACAAAAAAAAAAAAAGACGACAGTCACAAATAAGTTTTTCAGACCAAATCACTTCACGACAGTGCATCACATTCGGCTATCCAGCATCATCATTTCCTCAAAACAAGACAGAACCGTCACGTAGTCCAGCCTGAAAATAAACCTTTCGAAATAACAGGTCACCAGAAGATTACGAATACTCCAACGACACGTCCGGTCGTCAGTCAAAGAAATAAAGAAAATATTATCGAGAAGATACGCTCTGCAGGTAATCCTGATTAGCTGCGACAGCAGGACCGAACTCAACAGCACCCCTCAGCCCCCGAAAACCGTAAATCGGGATATCCAGAGAAAAGCCAGCCCTCATCCGGAAACGAAGGACCGGATAAATGGTAGCCACACGCATTACTGATAGGGGTCCAACTTCGGCGGCTGCCTCTTTCCCGCCACCACGGCTTCCGGCGCGAAACCCCTCGCGATACCCAGAAAAAGATACCAACAAGACGCGGGGGCATCGAACAGGATGGCTTCGAAGACCTACGACCAAAAACAAAGAAACAAGCGGCTGCGAGAGGAACGAGGCAAGTAAATAAATTACGAAGAGACTACTTAATCCGGCTCAGACAGTCGTAGATTGACCTCGCCGGAGGATCTCAAGAAGGTACCAGAGGGGGGAAACGTCCACAGGGGAACACGTCCTCAAAGACTAGCCGGCGGCGAGAAATTCTTTCGCGGTGGATTCCTCGTTTTTTTCTAGGGCGGCAGACGCGGAGATTTCAAAATACTCCAGAAGAACGGCACGCACGCACACGGGCAGACTCGGAAGACGACTGACGCCAGATGCACTACTCACGTACAAGAAGGCCGCGCTACTCCATGCAGTTCGTCGAAGTGGCATGCGGGGGAGATCGTGTCGATGCAGAAAACGTTTCGTCTCTGATCAGCGCCCGAATTACAAGTGAGGAAGGAGCGACAGTGCGGACTGTGACGGGGATTCAAGGCTGTACTGAACTTGTCCAAGACCGGCTCAGCGGCTGGTAGGCACAGCGGACCGACTCAAGACCGGCTGGTCCACAGCAGGCAGGCCGGCAGGCCGGCGGGCGCCCGCTACAAACCAGACCGGATTTCGTGTTGTTATATCGAACGCGCACGTTGCAGTCAGGTCAGTCAGTCGCGAAATCGCAAAGTGGAGCAAGAAATCCTCGTGTGTGTCGCCAACGCTCGTTTGTCGGAACTACCTGACTTAATTGCGGCGGTGGTCCGAAATAGCCGGTGATACCGAGACCCGGCATACTTAATTTCTTCCCGTACTGCCCAAAAATAACCTCCGGCGCGCAAAAGATAAATCGTGCCGACCGAAATATCATTCGTCTAGCTCGCTCGCGAAGGTCTGACCTGTTGACACTCGTAGTGACAGAGTACACACATTCCGCCGGAGGACCAATCGAAGGAGGGTACGCGAAGGGTTGAACCGACTCAAACTTGTTTCTTGTTGCAGGCTGTCGTCTCTTTTGTGCACCCCGGAGAAGCATGGATTCGGGAAGGGCCTACTTACCGGTTAGCTGCACGTCAGATTCATGTCCTGGCAGCGTGCGACGACGGTGGTAACATCCAGGCGTTTTGTAGCCGATTAGACACAGCCCGTGGACAGTAGCACACACACTCTCGACACTCCCACCAGCTCACATCTGAGCGCTTGCCGGGCTCGCCGACACCGACCGAGAAGAAACACGCGCCATCTTCCGTGGCGGCCTCTCGCGCCGCCGGCTCCAAACATGGAACGATCGGAGCGCCGCCGCTGCGCGAAAAGAGGCGCTGCCGGCGCTACAGACGGAGCAAGCGAAGCAGACGACGCGCAAAACCCGCAAACATCCATGGGCGCAAAAGAAGCCACCTTGTTGTGATGCAGACAGCTGATCATGACGTGTTATCTCTTTGTGATATCATGGCAGAATGCTTTCGCTGATCATGACTATATGACTCAGGTTAAAGATCCGAATTTACCAGTTCGGCGAACACCTTTGCTGCAGGTAGTACTTTCTTATTTTTCTTTTTTTTCTTCTGAGTTTTTTGGCGGCGTCCTCAAATACACAAAAAACAAACAAAAAAAACTAACACCAAATAAATTTGTTGTTGCTGTTTTCTTTTTTTTTTTTATGTAGTGTGTTGTACACATTTCATTTCTCTCGGAGAAGCATCTGTCCTGAGGTGCTAGTATCAAGATCGAAGACTGTGCGGGCAGTAAAATTCAAACGGCAAATCGGTGACGTTATGTATAAAACGGGTTATTCGGCTGATCCACGGTTCCAAACAACATGGCGGCTGCGGCTAGCCAGGGGCGCAGCCATCTTGTTTGGGTCATCCGTCATGTCGGCAACCGGCGGCGGCAACTGCCTGCCGCCTTCACTCGTTCCCTACCCTCCGCCGCCGGTGCAACGTGCTCCCTCATTTCCTGGCAGTGAAAACAGGTTTCCCTTCGGCAGTGCTCTGTGCCCCTTGTCGCTTCTCTTCTTATTTTCCCTTCCTTCTTTGTTTCTGGCCTTGGCGTGACGCCAGCCGGCCATACTCTGTTTTACCTACCGCTGCGTACCCTACGAGCCACCCAAGCGAATACATTGCCGTGTTAATGTCACGTGCCTTTCGTAAAGGGCGCATGGAGCGCGGAGTCACGTGATAAATTCGCAGCTTTGGATTTGTTGAGATGACTCGTAGCCTTCGCTGCGGTTCATCGTAGGATGAAACGAAGTTTGGCCAGTTGCCTTTCTCCTCTCAGGATGCGCGTGTTTCTTTCTTTTTCTCCCTTCTTCCACGGATAATCAAACTCTTGCCGCGCGGCGGCCGTGTTTTTAGGCGGATGAGCCCCGTTTTCACGAAGAAGCGAGAGAGAAAGAAGAAGGGTGGCGAGCTCGTCCTCGTTTTTATTTCCCACTGTCTAGGGCCAAGGAGTCAGCGTACGTAGAAACGACGGAGGAGCCAAGGCGGAATGAAGTGATGGCTAAATTTAGGAGTCTGTGTTTGCGAGTTTGTGTGTGTTTTTCTTTCGCGTATTTTGCAGGGGGTCTACGACGAACCTGCGTCTTATGTCATCTTCCGTTCGGAAGTGCTATCAGAGTTTACTCCGCGTCTCTCCAGGAACAAACATTGAAAATGTACGATATTATAGAGGCTGCAGCGTGTCGAATTTGTATCTTGCTTCCGTGTCCGTCCGCTTGTGACAATAAAGCTGAGACGCACCGAGTCTAGGATAAATATTTTCGCAAATTACATCGCTCTATTTTGTGTGTGTGTGTGTGTTTTAAACAAGGCTGGAGACGGCAGTAAGGTTGTTATAGTTATGCCACGAAATTAAAGTATGGTTAAATTACTTTCTACAGTGGAAGTAAATGCGCAGGGAAGGCCGCGAACACACCATCGGCGCTTTTCAGATTGTTCTTTATTGTCGAGTATCAAATGTTGCCGTCGGTGTTAATGACCTGAATGAGCATTTTCCACCGCGTCATTACCCTCGATAATAGCCTGTCCACACCAAAAGAAAGAGAAGAAAGTCTGATGATCATTTCATCGCGCTGTGGCGCTCTGAACTTCCTTCCTTTAAAATGTGGTAATCAAGAGACCGTTTACTTAATGGTACAAGTGTGGTAATTTAATTGCATTACTTTATAGCTTTTTAGGACAGATCACTGCGTTTTTCAGTGTGCTTCGACAGACAGGAAACTTGTCTGACGCTAAGTTCGATTATCTGTCATTAATGCTCTGAGCTAAGATGTCAGATGATTTCCGCAATATGTGATAGATTCAAGTTAAGTGGCTTTCCTGATAAGGACAACTCCGCTCCATTGCTGCGAGAAACAACACCAAGGCGATTTAAATGTGACGGAAACGGACACATGATGTTTATTTAGAATTACGAAATCGAAATTTCGCAGCTTGGAATCCTAATATATCAAGTTTATTGGAATATTTTACATTAAAATATTTGTAACACTCCCGGAAATGTAGAGTTCTGAAAGGTAGCGTCACGATGTAACTATTTTTGAGCCTATTACGTGAACACCGTACTAAAAATTTACACTGACACTTTTATTCTGGTTAATTCTAGGCTTATATCCAAGTCTTATCGCATCATCTACAGACCAGCACCCCTCTGTAATTAATGCGTGTATCTTTCAGTCCTCGCTTTTGCGCTCACTTTTAAAACCACGAATCAATAGCCAATCGCCCACATTTTAATCCTTCTGCGCGAACTAGTGTCTATGTCGAGACGCAGGGCAGGAAAATACACTATTTCAAAGTATACCACGGCGCTTCTTTCTTTTTTTTTTTAAATTTAGGTATATATTTAGGCTTTCATTTAACGAAGAAAATGGCCGCATTCATGGGTTCTTCTATTCCTAGTTAAAGAGCTCCCCGAAGAGCCCCTATCTATCCTCATCTATTCAAATACCACCTCGCCTTGGAACTGCCGCAAACCAAGAAAGAAAAGCGGATTGCGGCGGCGGCCGAGAAACGAGACCTTGAGTGGCCTACAGGTGCCGCCTTTTCCCCTGCATAAGCCGCACGAGCGAAATGTTCGACTGCCGTTGTTTTTGTCATACATCCACAGGCTGTTTATAAAAACAATCCCGCGTACGCAGAAACTAGGGGTGTCGCGAACTTTTGTCGAACCAGATTTTTAGGTCGAACTTTCGGGGTTCGACTGGGTCGAACCGGTTCGACGAACCTTCGACCTTTTCAACAGATTCGACCGGTTCGACTTTGTGGACAGTGTGGCCAGACCTTGATACAAGCATGTCTAGGTTTGGAGGATGTTTTTTTAAGAAAAGGGTTATTTTATTTTATAAACGGTTGCAATTAAAAGAAACTAATTCTAATCATTGAAGAAGTTAATAACTTAATTTTTTTGTACTGTATTAAGTGAAATAACCAATCAGCGCTGCCCTTAATTTATCCATTAGCTATTACCATCCAATCCAAAGCCAACTGGCCAGCCTGTCGCGCATGCGCACACGAGTCGAACCTCAATACAAGGTTCGTCGAATTTTCCACTAAAAGTTCGAAAAAGTCGAACCTGGTTGAACTCGAACCTCGGCCGGTTCGCGACACCCCTAGCAGAAACTGAATTGGCGTGAGGCGAAGCGCACTGCGCATGCGCGGTGCCGACAGCAGCGCCACCACAGCGTGGCGTGGCGTCGGAGAGAATTTATTTTTGTGTATTCGCGACTCGAGCAAAGCGGACGGCGCCTAGCGGAAAAACACTGAACTGGCCGGAACAGCTGTCCTTTCGCAGTGTCTGCTGTTTCTCTTTTTGAGGGCTTCCGTGATTGCGTGTAGTCGGCGGTTGGCGCCCGATGGCCACCGAAGTTTTCTGAGGAAAAATGCGCTGGCTTGTGTTCCCACAAACGAAAAGGGCAGCAAGGACACGACCGCAGGGAAAGCCTCGAGTCATAATGGCCTTGCGAATAAGATGCTCTTTGCATTGATTTTTTATGTTGTGTGGGACGGACGTACAGTTGTCCCGGTGACTTTATCGTTACTGTGGTGTCAGAGCGTTGTCTAGGTCACTCGGGGGTAGGAATGCAAACTACGTAACCTAATGAACCAGACATTTTGCGGTTATGGACTGTCATTAGCGCGGTAGAAGGGCAGGTATAGTCCTTCCATCGTTTCACCGAAGACTGCTAGGCCTCTGGAAGCTCGTTTACACCAATACCAACACACCGCCGCAGGTTTTGAAGCATAGAGTATAGAAATCGGAGCGAACCATATTGGAGTCGATGCCTGCTGGCTTAAAGCCCAGCGTTGGTCGTTGAGCTGGAGCATTGCGCGGCACGACCTGTTTTAGGCCTCTAGGTTTGTCGAGAGTGGCGGCCCCTATGGATCGCTGGAGTTGTGAATGGGGAAGGTATGGCGATCGCATGCTTCACCTGCAGCGGCCAAGAGCGGTCGCACGCTTCATGTCTCATCTGCCCATATCACCATATATGGTACCACTTCTAAGCTGGCAGCATCGCAACAGCAACAAGGTCCACGTCATTCATTGCAGGTCGGGTTCTAGATAAAACTGAGTAAACAAAAATAAATAAAATATAAGGGTTCGTCTTCCCATTTGCGGCTGGACAATACATCTACAAGGAGGGATAAAATACTTCATCTGACCATTTTAGTTAGAATTATCTTTTCTTTTGTTTTTTAGCTTCAGCGCAAGGTGGCGCTGCTTCCGGCATAACGATTATGCTGCGCGTTATAGGTATGAATCGCGGAACCGTTCGTACCTGTGCAATCCTCACACCTTCCGTTTTAGCCCATTATAGCATGGTCAGTATCATAAACGTAATCATTTTCACACCACCATGTCGCCATTTTCAACGACAAAATCATCAGCAAAATAACGTTGTTATTATATTCTTGTCATTATCAGCGCAACCTTCATCTCATCATTGTTCTTCATTCTCAACGTCGTGTCATATTAACTGCTTCATCATCCTATATTGTACAGACCACATTCTTACAATTGTTTCGACATTATTGCGGTAAGGTTGCCATCATTGTAAATCTATAAAGGGCATCAGCAATGTTAAATTAACCCCACTAACACTAGCAGCACCGTCGTAATTTTCTATCTTGTGATAGTTTGATTTTATTGAAAAACAAATTATGTTCAGCAGAAGGGGAACAGGGCAAGCAAAGTCAAAGCAGTGGAAATGACCGAATCGCGGGACGATTAATCATTATCAAAAGCATTACATGCACAGTGTGTTTTTTTTT